ATATATGTAAACCCCTCTGTATCGCCGCAGAGTTGCCCCGGCGGTTATTAATGATGGACGAGGCTTCTCGGGCGTGTTGTCATCGTCTCTCTTGCTTGACTCGTACCACTTCGTATGTATGCAGTCCTTTTTCTGGCTGAGTGAGAACGAAACACTCCGGGCCAATGTCGCTGAGGTCTGACGCGCTGCTGCTCGTGAACCCGCTCGCGCTCCCGCCCTTTTCCAACACGACTAAAGGCTGCTTTGTGTTTCTGGACACGTTGAGACATACAATTGAAGCGCAGACTACAATAACTGCGCACTACCCTTTACACCGGCATGCAGCCGCTGCAGCAAACGCTGGTGCTATTGACGCGCACACACAGACACTCGCACTGAGACTGACGTCTTTTCATTGGTCAGCCCGTTAGCGCGGTCGATGCTATTAATAAAGACACACACACTCCGGTTTCTGTCTCTACTCCGGAGAATAACCCAGCCTCCCCCAAGAATAGCCTAGCCTCCTCCATGGCCCGCCCATCACGGGGTCCCAGACCATACAGCAGTAGTGGCTTTAGAAAAAGCATTTACCTTTGGTAGAGCTCCGAAACTCACACTGCTCCTATTAATAGATATGTATATGTAGGATTTCAACTTTTTTTTTACTCTTCGCAATCGTTTTTCTCCGCTGGGACAGCGTTTTTCTCGCACTTTCTTCTGCATCGCACGCAGAGGACCCGTCGGTACATTACCCGTTACGTGTGGGGCTCGCGAGACACCGGTGGTGCGCGTTAGGACCGCCTAAAGTCGCTGGGACTGGCTCTTTTTTCGGGGGTTGGGAATCCGAACCATCAAAGCCTCCTCGAACGGCACGAAAACTGAGAACATAACTTTTTTTACCCCGCGCCACGCGCCACGCGCCCACGCGCCCACACACCTGCTGCTGTGATTGTTGTGCACACAACCACCACACGGCAACTGGCGCATGCGTACCCACAGCGGGGATCAAGACTCTTGATGCTCAGGGGAACACACCACGCGACACAGAAGTCCTCTCGCACAACTCTGACAGCGGTACATTTGTACATACATTTCAATTCCGAAAAATCGAAAAAGTCAAATACAGAAGTTTGGTACGGTAGCAGTCTACGTCTAGCTGTGACTGTTCTTGGGCACGTTGAGCGTCTCTTTGATCCGTTGTCGTTGTTGTATGCATGAAAAAGTCCCACAGACCATGGGAAACACGATCACACAAGAAGAGAAAGTGATCAAACGCAGCGGATTACAGCAGTAGGGCCTGCAGCAAACCGGTATAATAGCCAAAACCACACTCACTCACTCGCGCACAAGGGAAAGTCACGGCGGGAGAAAACAAAATAACCTGCACATATGATGCAAATTCCAGGCATATCATTAGTATGCAGGTTGCACGCAAGCCGGCACTACCGAACGTTATCACGACCAACCATGCGACCGAGATGGCATTGATTGGCCATGTCCTCTTGCGTCGCCCCCGAGAGGCACATCACCTACCTCCCGCAGGGGAACCTTGTACCATGTATGAGTTCCAGTTTTGGGCACCACGCGGAGCGGACGGGACGCGGGACGCGCAGCCCCGTTGCCAGAATCCTGATGCTCGCCCATCCTCCAGTCTTGATTTAGGCGACCGATACCGCTCCCGACAATGCCGTTTGGTGTTAACTGCTGTGTCTCTGCTGTGCCGTGATAATAATTAGGTACACGCTTTTTTTTAAGCCCCCCCCCCCCCCCGCACGTAGCTACAGGGGGATCGCACTGTTGAACACAGTAGGAAAAGTGTTATGTAAGCTGCTGAACGATAGGATATTGGGAGTATTGGAGAAGGAACATAGCATTAGTGAGGGCCAGGCAGGTTTCCGAAAGAAGAGGGGGTGCGTAGACCACGCATTCACGGTAGGGAGAATCATCCAAGGTAGAAAGAGGGCGAGAAAGCCGACGTACTGCTTCTTCCTGGACGTGAAAAAGGCATACGACACAGTATGGAGAGATGGGCTGTGGACACAATTGTCCAAGTACAGGATCAAGTGAAAAATGTGGAGAGTGCTGAAGAACATGACAGAGTGCACGAAAAGCGCGGTCATGCTAGACGGAGAACTGTCAAAATCCTTCGACATTGAACAGGAGGTCCTACAAGGTTGCACGCTGTCCCCAACATTGTTCAGGTGTTCATCAACGATCTGTTGGAAGTCGTAGAGGCAGTCCGGAAGCGAGTAAAAGTAGGGGACACGGAAACTTCGGTGTCAGAAATGCTGTTTGCGGATGATTCTGTTGGTATGTCGGACACCCCTGAGGGACTGCAACTGCAAATTGACGCGGCGAAGAAGTTTACTGACAAAGTGGAGATTGTCTGCCAACGTTAAGAAGAGTGCCGCCATGGTATGCAACGAGGTCAGGGAGGAACCAGTAGAATATAGATTAAAGTGGGGGATCGAGGAGATTGCAGTAGTGAACCAGTAAACATACCTTGGAGTAGAGATCGCAAAAGACGCTCGTGGAATGCACACATGTCCAAGGAAGCGGAAAAGGGCAAAGCACGAGCAGGGAAGCTGCACCCAATACTCGCAAACCGGGGCCTCGATACACGCATCAAATTTATAGTTTTGAAGAGCGTAATCGTACCGCCGCTGGAGTACGCCGGAGAAGTACAAATATGGGAAGGAAATAAGAAGGTCGTGAAAGAACTCGAGGCGGCGCAGATGAAAGCAGCGAAAATCATCCTAGGATGCTCCAAGCACACAAGTAGTGCAGCCGTCAGGGCAGAATTGGGGATCCAATCCCTACGGTCGGGAAGACACCCAAGGAAGCTGACATGGCAGTATCGCATGTGCGGGATGGGGAGAGGAGAGGTTGCCGAGGATAGTATGGGAGGCGAAGTGGGCAAACAAAAAGAGGGGTAGACAACCCACGGAATGGGTCAAGGTTGTAGAGGACGTATGGAAGGGGTTCGAAATTGACGAAGATGAAACGCTGGAAACGGAGGGTCTACAGGGGTTCAAGGAGAAGATATCTGTGCTTGTGCCAAGAGAGAAGAACAGAATCTAAGGGAAGAAACCAAGGATAAGGAGGGTCTAGAAGTGTACGGGATGTTGAAAGAAGGAATAGGGTTCAAGGACTACCTACATGGACCAATGGATGCAGGGACAAAGCTTAAGGTCAGATTCAGGACCGGGGACATAGGCCTTCGAGAACGTCGACGAAGACATAGGACGGTAGCCGACGAAGAGGACAAGTTCAAATGTGATTGCGGCTTCGAGTGCGAAGACCGTGTTCATGTAGTTGCGGAATGTCCGTGGTACGAAGAGGAGAGGGAAATGTACATGACTGAGCTGGGAAAAATACAAGGGAGGTACAGGGAGATGTTTGAGGCATGGAATAGAGAGGAGAGGACGGTAGCTGTACTGGGGCATAGGAAGTGGTTTGAAATGGCCGGAAGGGATATCGTTAGGATAGATAGACTAGGGAATTAAAAATCGAGCCACCTTTGGCAAAGTAGGAAGGAACGATTGGCCATCGGTGATCGGTCCTGTGGGAACAATGCTCCGTCCTCTCGAGGACGCGTGGTCAATGGTCTAACCGCGAAGGCATGCAAAACATAAGAGTACCCCCCCCCCCCCCCGCACGTTGGCCCCCCCCCCAACATTGGCTTGGGCGCGGCCCCCCTCCCTGCCCAAGTGGGAAAACTAGGTTTGCAAAAATGCCTGCTGGAACCCGAAAAAAAAAGTGGGGCCAACGGCGGCGGCAACAACGGCAACAACGGCAAAGGCGTCCGCGGGAAAGGGCTTTCCGGCCCCCGCAACAGGGGGGGCGGAGCGCGCTGCAACTCCTCTTCCCCCCCGGGCTCCAACACCCGATGCACGGGACCCCCCAAATCCCAATGGTCCACGGGAAAAACCAAAGGAAGGGGAACAAAACCCTCCCTTTGCGGCCGCGGCGGCGGCGGCCGTGCGAAAAACGTCCGAAAACCACCAACCCACCACAACAACCAAAACAGCGTGGTTTTTGAAAACCGGGCTGGAAGAAGAACGGGCGCGGGGAAGGAAGAAGCCCTGCTGCCCCTTGGCGTAACCTCCGTGTTGTGGGAACTGGAATGCTGCCCGGCGCAAGCTCTGGTGAACTTGATGAACCTCA